CTACTCATACTAACCGATATTTGAATTTCGACTCAAATCACCCGATAATGGTTAAAAAAGGTATCGTAAAAAGTCTATATGATAGAGCAAAAATAGTTTTTAATCAATCTATTTTTTCCAAAAAAAAACAATTTGTAAAAGAAATTCTAAACTTCAATAATTATCCAAATTCTGTCTTTTTTAAAGACAAACATTTTTGAGGCGAAAAGCCCAAAAAGAAGTTCATAAATAATTTTTTTAATTACTACAAGTTATTTATCAATTTTTTATCTCTTATTGTTTTTTCTTAAGGGCACTAGTTTGCGTGCAAAAAATTAAATCGTTTCGGCTTAATCAAAACTTTCCAGGCCGTTGGATTGCTAGAGGTCAAAAAGCTTCTATAAACTCGCCTCCTGGATCTCCCGATTTAATCGCGCTTGATTTTTTCTTCTGGGACCATTCAAAAAGTACCGTATATTCACCAGAAGTGAATACAATCCAAGAACTTTAGCAAAGAATTTTTAATATTTCTAACGAAATAAGAACTTCAGTGCAAACTTTACGGTCTGAAAATTTTAATTTCATTAAAAGACTGCTGCTAAATTAACAGTAAAATGGTTAATTAAATTTAATTTTACTTGTTTATATCGTTGCGCATATTGTTACCATGTTTTTATTTAAGCAAAATTTATTCAAACTCTAATGTACATTATTTTAATTAATTTTTTTGAAAGTCTTTCAACATTAGAAATCTTAAACTGATTCTTAAACTAGACATTTTAAATGGGAAATAATTCATTTTATCGTTATCTTAAATAACTTCTATAATAACGCCTCACATCAGCTGAAGTCTGGCAACAATGCATTCCAAGGGGGCTACAATTAGCCGCTGCTTGCGCAGGTTGATGCTCTAGGGGCGCGGCACTTGATCACTTCTCCGCGGGTTTTTCCCGCGTCCACAGAGGGCGCCCCAACACTTTCGCCATGTAAATCTCGCTCATTCTGTTTCAGATTTCGCGCATTCCGCAGATCGCGCAGTACGCGATCACGCAGTCGCACGTGGGCCGAGCGGTGCAGGTGGGGGAAAAGGCGGGCGTGCTGCGCTACGTGGGCGTGGTCCAGTTTGCCAAGGGCGTGTGGTGCGGGGTGGAGCTGAACAGCGCCTGCGGCAAAAACAACGGCACCGTGAATGGCGTGTGGTACTTTGAGTGCGCGCCGCGGCGCGGCCTGATGGCGCCACTGGCCAAGGTGTCCCTGACGGAAGCAGCGCCCCACAGCGGTTCCGGCCCGTACTCGATCCTCTGCGGGCTGGAGGGCGACGGCGACGCCGCCAAACGGCGCCGCACCACCGCCAGCAGCAGCATGGAGCCGGCGCAGAAGCCCACCTCGCTGCCGCTAGAGGGCGACAGCGGCAAGCGCGACTCGCTCGACTGCGAAGAGTCGCTGGGCATCCTCACGCCCGACCAAATGGTCGACTTCACGCAGTGCTCCGCCCTCGACTACGACAAGCTGTTCGAGGGGGCCGGGCAGAGCCCCACCAACCCCGAGTTCAGCTTCCTGCTTAAAACGGACACAACCATGAATCTGGAGTTGAGTCTGGACCCGTTGGGGGCGCGCGGCGACGACACGCCCTCCCCCGAGGAGCTGCCGCTCGACGCCACGCCCCTCGTCAAGGCGGAGGCGGCCAAGGGGGGCGGGGCCAAGGCGAGCAGCATCATCACCAGCATAACGAGCATCACCAGCCTGGACACCGGCTACCAGGGTAAGTGGGGGCGAGTGGGCGGGGCTGGGACTGACGCGCGCCGTTGCAGGGGACGGCGAGATGTCGCGGCCGGCCAGCAGGGGCGCTGACAACTCGCCGCTCACGCGCCGCCCCTTCTGCCGGGGGCTGGCGCGCCGCCCCGACCCCATGACCGACTCGGACTTCTACACCGAGAGCGACGCGGACAACCACGATGATGCGCAGGCGAAGGGCGACCGGCTGGCGCAGGKGATTGACGGCACGCTCTATGCGGCGCAAGCCGCCTCCGACGTCTACGTCAACAGCCGCGAGAACATGGACTCGAGTGGTAAGTGTCGCGTAGGCAACCGCATATACAGGCAAGCGTCTAGGCATACGGCACGTCCTGTCACTTCTGTCAGTTCTTCTGTCACTTCTGTAAAAAATTTAGGCGGTTTGTCATTTTTGCATCATGCTGATCATCATCAAAAAATGTTGTATTATTGTGAAAATATTTTATACGCCTGATAACTAAAAGTAAATGGAAAGAGAAGATACCAGCAATTCTTTTGCTCAATATTTCTTGACTCTTACAATAGTGATTTAATTTTTTCTGTTACTTTAAAACTAAAAAATCGTTGATAATTTGTTTTAATTAAATTTGCACATTGCACATAGGAAAATAACTTAAGCCAACTATCTATTTGCTCAATAAAACATTTTTGTTATTAAAACGCCCCATTTGGTGTACATAATATATAGAGTAACGTTAAAAACACATCGTTAAGTTCTTCTAAGTCAAACTTTATAAGTCCAATAATTTTATCAATATTAATTGAGTTAACACAGTCAAAGTCCAACACTATATTAATAAAATCCAAAGAGTTTACAGTTACAACAGAATACCGGATAAAAATCACCTAACCTTAAATCGTCTTAAATCATTACAAACCGCTAGGCTCGAATCGCCGCAATCGATAGAAGTGACAAGAAGTGACAATTGACAAGAATACCTAGACGCTTGTAAAATAAAGCAGTCCACTTTGACATGTTGAACTTGCAGTTTCTCTCCCAACCCTAACCCCAGAAACGACAAATACAAAATGGCGCTGCGACAAAAGTGAAAGAAGTAAAGAAAATAATCCAGATTAATCCAAGGCATCCTAAAGAAAAAGGAGGAAAATGGATTTGGAGCAAAGGTTTCAAAAATCGACATATTAATACAGAAATTCGATAACCACTTCAACCCGAAGAAAAACATAACCTACGAAAGATATAAATTCTTAACGTTTAAACAGACTGAATACCAAACCAAATTTGTCTCTGTCATGCGTCATACTGATTTGTGGCATAAAATCAGAGAAATTAAGGGAGAGAGACTGCAAGTTCAACATGTAAAAGTAGACAGCTTTATTTTCCTCGGCAAAGTTGCCAGGTCTACCGATTTGTCAAGGAATCTACCGATCTACCGATACCATGCAGATTTCTACCGAAAAGTAGCAAACAAAAATTGAAAAAATTTGCGTGGATTACTTAAAATAATATAGCATATTTCCATTCATGATCAAAGTACGTTGGTAATGGCAGACATTTTATTTCAGCACCCCTCGTATTTTAGAGTTTTTTTTCAAACATAAAATGAATCAAGCCTGCCATGTATTCATTGTATCATGGGTTAATCTAATGAAAACTGAGTTGAGCCATAAGCTAAAAACGAGTACAATTTACAAGTTTAAAAATTTATAATAATGAAAGAAAAAAGTCTCGAGCTTATCTACCGAAACTCGATTTTTGGACCTGGCAACCCTGTTCGGCGGTTACGCTGGATGGCAGGCACTGTATATGCGGTTGCCTGCCTGACAGTAAGGGCCCCGCCTCCTGTGGCCTGCTGACGCCGCCCCCTTTGCAGGCGTGTTCACCGACATGGACTCGGGGCCGCGCCCAGACGAGGAGAGCGAGACGGGGGCGCCGCAGGCCCCCAGCGACGCGCCCACGCCCACTGACAGCAGCAAATGCGCCTCCGACAACAGCCAGCAGCCCAAGCAGGGGGCGCAGCCCCTCGCAGCGCCCAAGAAGCCGCCCAAGCCGCAGCCGGGCGAGAAGCGCCCCGTGAAGAAGCCGGTCAACAAGTGGGACGCGGTGATGAGCAAAATCTCCAAGGGCGACGACCCGAAGGGCCGCCTCAAGGAGGTCAAGGCCAAGGTGTACGAGGCGCCCAAGGTGAAGAAGCCGCTGGTGGCGAAGCGGGCGACCGCCAGCCGCCCCCGGGCCGCCGCCGCCCCGCCCAGTCGCAGTCCAGGTGAGTGGTTTAGCGAAAGCGCCGTGCGCCGAGCGCCGCCAGTCGCTTCGCCGACCGCGCGCGGTTAAAGTCGAGTGGATCGCAGTGCCGCACGGGAATAATCCACGTTTTGGAGGCGGTTTGCGCCCATTGCACCAACGCGGACTTTGCGCCCATGCTGGCAACAGGGGCGTGGTCAGTTGCTGCCAAGGCCAGCCCTTCGACAGCCCGAAACGGGTAAAAGACGCGGCAACAGGGCGTTTCACTGCGGGCATTGTTGACACCGTTCGGCTAATGAAAAGCACCTGACGCGGTGCGAATTTGCATAAATATGCCGGTGAACGCACGCTGGGTTCGCTAATGGCCAATTAAGTACCGGTTTTTCCAGTGGCGGACGGAAAATAACGCGATGGCAACGGTGGCATAAATGCCATTGACCCTGTCAATAACGGGGCAAATGCGCCACTGTTGCCAAACTGGACAGTCCCCCCAGAGCCCCGACTCTGCTAATTGCGGCTCCCTTGGAATACATTGGTGCCAGATCTCAGCTGATTTGAGGCGTTATTACAGAAAGAGAGAGAGAGAGAGAATGAGAAAGACATTATTATATATTTACCGAGTTTTTTAAGATATCGATGAAATAAATTATTTCCGATTTAAAATGTCTACCAAAACTCAGTTCAAGATTTCTAATGTTGAAAGAATTTTTTTAAAAATATTAAAATAATATACATTATAGTTTGAATAAATTTTGCTTAAATAAAAACATGGTAACAATATGCGCAACGATATAAACAAGCAAAATTAAATTTAATTAACCATTTTACTGTTAACTTAGCAGCAGTCTTTTAATGAAATTAAAATTTTCAGACCGTAAAGCTTGCACTGAAGTTCTTATTTTGTTAGAAATATTAAAAATTCTTTGCTAAAGTGCTTCGATTGTATTCACTTCCGGTTAATATACCGTACTTTTTAAATGGCTCCAGAAGTAAAAATCAAGCGCGTTTAAATCGGGAGATCCAGGAGGCGAGTTTATAGAAGCTTTTTGACCTCTAGCAATCCAACGGCCTGGAAAGTTTTGATTAAGCCGAAACGATTAAATTTTTTGCGGTCAAATTAGTGCCCTTAAGAAAAAACAAGTTCCCAATGTTTAACCGTTTTAAAGATGGACAACAAAAACTGATATTTTTCGCCATTTTGCCGATCAAATATCTCAAAAATGAGACCTCAAATTAAAAAAGTTCTCAGGAAGACCCTGTATAAATAACACATTGGAAATAGACATAACTAATGATATAAAATGTATAAAATTCTAACCCCACCTTTTTGCGATTTGACACTTGACACGATACCTAACATAACATTAGATATTGGCAACGTTGCATTCCAAGGGGGCTACAATTAGCCGCTTCGCCCGAACACTATTTCTATTTCCGGCCATTGTAGGTCACCACTTTAGCGCGCCGTTTGTTTTTGGACCGGCCTTAGTGGCCCCTTGCAGGGGCGGCGTTGCCACTGTGCCGGTTCCGGCCCAACTAGCGCAGCCATGAGCTGGCAAGCGAGGCGCAGCCCGTGCTGTCACTGAACCAACTGTCAAAACACCACTGAGGGGCAGGTGCAATGGGGCAACAGCCCTCCAAGGAGAAAATGCGGCGCATCGCGCTCAAGGAAAAGTACCACGCGCACGCGCACAAACGCTCGGGTAATAGGGGGTTTTCACTTTTTTTTTTTTTGCGCCGATTGAGGTTAGGGGTAACTCGATAGATTTTTAGGAGTTGGCGCAGTGAATCAACACAGTGTTACCCGGGTCGAGTTGGGCCTGCGCTTAACCGGTGTCGATGTTGCAGGTGCGACGAAGAAGAGCGCGCCAGTGACGCAGGTGCTGACGCCTAGGGAGCTGGCCGCCAAGCAGCAGGCCGACGGCGAGTCCAAGGGCGGGGCAAGGGCAAACCACGCCCCAATCGGCGCTGTTGCCGGCAGGAAGACGCCCAAGGACACGACGTCGCCCAAGCCGCGCAAAGGTGAGTGAGTCGGCAACGGCGCCACTGCGCCGCAAAGGGGCCGCGTTCGCGAACGTGTCGGCGCTTCACAGTCGATGCACAAGCGGATCGGGGCATCTTCGCGCTCGGCCAAAACGAGAAAGTCTCCAGTCGCCTGCGGCGAGTGACGATGGGGCCCCTCAACCGCTTCCAGTCGCTCTTCAGCGCCAGTGCCGTCGACCTGAACAACAACGGGGCCAAGGGGCGCCCCCGGGACGCGCTCGCCCCGAAGCCCCGCACTGTGTGGGCCCCGTTCCGCCCCGGGCGCCGCCCCAAAGGTAACAACTTTCCCTTTGGCCGACAGGTGGCAATAGCGCGCGCACTTTCCCGCTTCGACAACAGGTGGCACTTTGCGCAACAGTTGGAGCCGATCGGCTCTGACCTTGATCCTAGTTGGCCGGGGCCGTTGAGCTAAAAATAGGGCGAAGCGCGCATCATCCGCTCATATGTTTTTATTCGAATGAATCAAAAATCAGGTGCCGCACAGTGTGCGACAAAGTAAATATGACACTTTGAACTTGCCACTGTCATTATATATTTTTTAATATTTTTATTTAAAAATAACCGAAATGCTTTTTTAAGGATTTACGTAGGTTTATCAACAGCTATTGATCCTATTTTCAAGTTTACTTACAATTTGTAAATTATGCCTTTGTTACAAGTTCAGTCTCATAATCGTTTTAATGGCCTACTTATCTACTTTTGCGACGTTGTCACACGTAAAACACGATCGTTTTAAGAAGCGCAAATGTCATGCAGAGTATGCAACATGCATACACCATCCCAAGACCACAGGTGTTTCAAGTTGAAAAGTACTTAAACTTACTTACAAACTTCAAAAAATGACATTGCCACAAAATTTTAAATATGAAATCGATGCATTTTATTATTCGGGTAATCTTTCATTCGAATAAAAAATAGTGTTCGATACGAGGGCGAAAATTTGTTTTTCGAACTCTTGACGGATTGACGTCAGGTGACGTCAAACGCCGTCGTCGTTGGAAAAACGACATTTTTCGCCCTTGTATCGAAAACTACTATTGTGATTGTTGCAGACGCAGGTGCCAAGGGGGGCGCAGCCCCCAAAAAGCCCGCGCCGCCCCCGCGGGTGGCCGAGGCGCTGGCCGTTCTGGTGCAGCACTTGGTCTTCACCGTAAGTGGCGCCCCCACTGTCAACGTCAGCTGTCAAACTGGGGGGTGTTCGTTGCAGGTGGAGGCGTTCCAGGTGCCGCGCCTACGCCGCCAGGTGGAGAAGCTGCGCCTGGAGGCGGAGCAAGTGCGGCGCGGCCGGCGCGTGTTGGACGAGGCGCTGCAGGAGGAG